CAAGTCATGTTACAGAAAACAGAATCCACTTTGCTGGGGACTGAGGATCTGTTGAGGTTTACTTGGAGGTGAGGGGATCATGTGGAAGAGAGCAGGCCTTGGGCTACTGCAGCGATAGGTGACTTCCAGGCCTAAGGAGCCAAGGTCTTTGCCCTGTACTGTAGTTCTTAGGTATACAAAGTATTTTGAGGACTTTGGAGAGCTGAGGAGGATGGTATGTAGTGGGATTCCTCAAGCAGACAGTGGTGACAGCTTCTCAGGGCCCCACCTACCAACTACAGCCCTGGCTGCACTCAGTGTCCTCTTCATTTCAGCTTTGATAGCCCATGCTACCTCATTTACAGTTTCGCAGTAACATGAACCCTGTGTGCAAACAGGACAGGAAGGAGGATTGGGAGACTTGGAGACTGGTTGGGCTCAGTAGGGAAGGTGATAGGGCAAGTCCTCTTGCAGCCACCTCCAGGCATTGGAAGGACAAGGGAGGGACCCTGTGACACTGCAGGGATTCATGATGCCCGGGGACCACTGTGACACCGAAGGGCTGCATTTTGATTTATCCATCAGGCCATGTTTTGGTACATGTCACTGCAACTTCAAAAATTACTAATTCTCTCTAATTTAGCAATGTGGTATTAAAAATACCATTGTGGATGCTGTAATAGGTTAACGATTGGCACATATCGTTACAGTGTGCATGGTGTAAAATTAAACCCATAAACATTTAATAAATGCAGTAAAAGAGTTTGATTATTTTAAAAAGTGATTATTTGGGTTTTACTTGAATTCTATCAATCTAAGAGACAAAACAATTTTACATTTCTAGGTAAAATTGATATTTAAATGTTCTGCAGCTTTCTACATTTAGTATGTTCAGGCAACATTTCAGCAATTCATTTATTTGCCAGGTGATAACATTTCTTTTCTTAGGCAGAGCCATCTATTTAAAGGCTTTTCTCTCCCCAGTGCCAGGCTGGGCAGCTCTATGAGATCTGCACTGCTGCCTGGCCAATGTGCTGAGCCTGACCTCGCTATTCTGATAAACTGAACCACAGCCTACAATGCAATTTCTTTTCCAATGTCTTCATTTAGGGCTTTTTTTTTTTTTTTTTTTTTTTTAAATTATCACCTCCATTGTGCTATTGTTTCCATTACAACTGAAACACTGATAATTATAGCAGCTTTCAATACCACATAGTCTTCCTTAGCACCTATATCATGACTAAAAATAATAGCAGACCGACTTTAAAGCATCTCCACTGTCTGCCAAAATCTTTTGAGCTTAAAGTAAAAGCTGCTCAAGATCTTTAGTGCTGTAATTTTGTGGGAGTCTCAACTACCTGTAAAAAGATTTAAAGAAGCAACAGCAAAACCTCATTCATGTAGTAGGCAGTTCTGTGATCAGTACATAGTGTAACTAAATGCGCTGATTGTTTATGCAGAGTTCTGGCTTTATTTTAGGTTAAAAGGAAACCCAAGTAATCCTGTTCTGCTGAGGGTTGTCTTGTACAAAATCTGGGATATAACAAGAATAATATTTAATAGATGGACATGCTTCTTAAAACTGTCATTGTGGTCTCTCCTGAGACTGTACTGAAGGGTGTCCACAGTCACAGGGCAGGGCAAAGAGTGGCTGATGGAGGCTGAGTCTCTGTTATTTAAAGCCTTGTGACTGGTTTCCCTGGTTTGCTTGAAGGTGAATATATAATATTTCTATTATGTACATGTTTATTTATTCTTTCAATCAATTATATTGAAACACCCTACAAACCATAAATGCCCAGAAATTAATAATACATGGGACATACTCTAGTACAGAGTTACCATTGTATTCTGCAGTAAGTACCTCTGCTTGACATAGAGGTGAGGCAAAAGGGTGGACAGTATTTGTTACTATTACCAGTATGCTAATAGTAGTATCCCACAGCACTGTACAAGTCAGTAAGAGAATGGGAGAAAACAGATGAAGTGGCATCACTGATGTCATTCAGGAAGAAAGAAACTGAGAATAGCATTGAAAAGGTTTTTTCTTTCCTGTTACTGGTATATGGTTTTCTCTCTTATAAGAAATTAATGTTCAATCCTGTGATATCTTATCCTTAACATTCACTAAGTTTCATGACTTCAGTATGTAATAGATACATACTTCAAAGGAAAGGTATGAAGGGGAGAAAAGCCTGGAGTTGATAGTGGCAGTGAGCCAAACAAGTAGACCATTCCTGTGACACACCCTGGAAGTATTCCCTGTTGAGCTTCCTTGGCTTTGAAGTGCTTCAGAGCTGAGGACTCTGGGGAATAAACAGAGCTTTTACATTCTCTAATGCATATTTCTCATGAGCCTAAACTTAAAAATGGTGTGTTGCAGACCTCTCAGTCTTCTATTAAGTATCGGTTTCTTTAAGATTTTTTAAGGAACTTTCAGATGTATTAATTCCTAGGTTGAATTGTTAATTCATAGCTAATAACTGGAGCTCTAATTTCACAAGTAATGCACTTTTTATTGTTTGTATGGTATGCAGAAACTTTTCTGAGTAATGTTTTGTTTTACTGGTCCTGTTCAAAGCCTTTGGCATGCTGCAGCTGGATGCTTTAGTAGCTGCAACATACAGAAAGGGAATATATCTTCCACTTAATGCTGTATACATACTGGAAAATAAGTTCAAGAGGAGTAAATGCACTGAGAGATCTGGCTTTCCTAAGAGAACTGAGTTACAAAACAGGAAAGTATTGTCTAAATATTCTTTTTCAACACCCTAAGAGGAAATAGTTGAAACACTTGGATAAGTGGGGAAACTGTAAATTCCTGCATAAGGCTATTTGTTGCATGTATAAAGCTTAAAGGATTTTTAACAAAGCAAATCAAAGGCATGCCTAATGTTAGATAAGTGATTGCTAAAAAAATGTTGACTTTGCTGATAGAATTTGCTACAGTAATATTTTTATTTAGTAAGAAATATTTCATTACTAAGTTACAGATAAGAAGCATATTATCAAGCCTTAAATATGAATCCTTTGTCAAGAGATGAATGAGAATTTTTTTCATTTGATATTGCCCTTGACTTTTCTGCTTTGTGATATTCTCTTAAGGCTTTGCACTGTAGCCATTTGATTAGCCTGTAGTCTGATAAGATCAAATTTGTCCACGTCTTCTGCTTCTTTTTTCCAAGTACCACAGCTTGTTCTACTTTCCTTTGTACCAACAAAGGGAGGTGGAAAAAAAGTTTCGTTCTACAATGTTATATTTTTTCTAAGACCAAATATCCCAGAAGTTGACAAACCATGTATTCGGCTTTTTACTATGCAAGATGAGTATTCTAAGTAATTTAGGTCAAACTAGTTAATTGCTTCTGTCTTTGGCAGTTGACTGGTACATGAAATGAACTTGTTGCCTTTTTAAGGGCTATTTATAGTCTTACAGTTGTGATTAAACCTAAAGTTATGATTTATTAGTACTGAAGATGGAGAAAAAGTTTATTAGAGCCACCAGAAGGTTGACTGGGCAAAAGAAGCATTTTGGGGTTTTTTGCTGCTTCCATGCAGTCTTTCCCTTTACTTTTTAGTTGTGTAAATGCACATTTGTAGTTTTTGATGCTCCACTTGATGCACATTCTTCTACATTGGAAAGTGGTGACAAAGAGACCAAAAAGGGAAGGAGAAAGAAGGCCACATCTCTAATCTCATGGAGCTTTTTGGGATTTTTTTGGGAGAGTTTTGGTTTTTTTTGTTGGGGTTGTTTGCTGGTTTGGGTTTTTTTTGAGTTTTCATTGTTTGTTTGTTTTTAATGCAAAACATCCACAAAAATGTGATCTGAAATAAAGTCAGGGTTGTGTAGTATCAAAGAGGTCCAAAAGATATACCAGATATACCAGAAGAAGCCCAAGAAGTATCATGGGATTGACTGGGAGATGATGAACAGTGATGTAAAAATGAGCAATAATTGCAACTTTGTAACAGAAGAACTTTGCATTGCAACAGGACATCATCTTCTTAGGTTCAAAATAGGATTTGATAAGCACAAGCACACTAGATGTTGTCTTAATTGTTACACTGAATTTTGAACCAGATAACAAATCTCATATGCCATTGTTTGTTGTTTTCTAGTTACTGGGTAATCACAGAGTTACAGGGAAATTATGCTGCACCAGTACACAGTGCAATTTTAATTGTTAGTTCTCAAGTGCCATTGGTCACCATAAGTCCAGTGTGAGACTGGATTCCAAAATGCAGTGGCAAGATAAAGTATGATAAACTATTGCTATGTTCCTTGAATATTTGTTTATGAATTGTGTTTTGGGATAATTTACATGAGAAGTGTTTATGAAGCCTGGCTTTCTAAAGGTCCTAGGCTCTGCTCATTGTCATAAAACCATAAAAACATATTACCTATCAAAATCATGTACTCTAGTCATGCAGATACGTAAATGAAATAATATTTGAAACAGTACACTTTCAAACAGTCATTGTAAATCTGTGCTAGAGCTTATTGTAATGGCATGAGTTAGCAAAAATCAAATGATAAAAACTTACTCTAGAGCTCCAGTCTTGCATGCCATGTTTTCAGGCTTTAGTGTATATTCATTCTTGATCATAGATGACCTATAAATAGGGGTGTATAAATGGAAATGCTGACAGATTCTGGACTATCATGATGGTAACAGGCACTGCTATAATTAGGCATGCATCTGAGTAGACAGTGTAATATGATGGTCGTGTTTATACCCTGTGCTGGAAGGAATGTTTGTTAATCTGCACAGTCCTTTTAAATGAGTTGGGTAGCAAGAGTCTGTGGAAAAAAAGATGCTGAGGTTTAATTCATATTTCACAATTTATTAGAAGAAAACGTGAAACATTTTTCTTTATACTATAAACAAAACATAGTTGAAATAGTTTGAATGTCGGTAAGAACTTTCTTCTTGTTTAGGCATTTAAACTTTCCAATCAAAAAGGTCTTTTTCTCCTATTTTCTTTTTACTATCAAAGTACTATTTCTTTTCCAATTTCAGAGGTCAGAGCCCAGCAGTTGCTGAATTTAACTTACTCCTGAAAGCATATTCTTTGGAAACGTATGGTGTTGATCCTCATCCTTGCAAGGTAACGGTTCTTTTTACTAACATTTAGTTAAACCATTGATGGAATCAATTTAGCTCTGTTTTTTTATCTAGGCCCAAACAGGGAGTAATGTATGAAAGAACTTGCCCTGGAACTATGTATTATGCTTAAGCCTTGGAAGAACACTGACTGGTTGGTGTTTCTGCATCAGTCAAAGGAAAGATTTCTCCAGAGGAAGCAGAACATCATGGAAGAATCTAGTAGAGTGTCATGACAAAAGCTTTGATTATACTTAATAATTTCTTTGCATTTAATGCAAAGATTTCTCTTAGGTACTCCAAGTGTGAAATACGTTTTGTTTCCCAAGATTTTCAGGATTCAGCATTATTCTGTCCAGAAGATGCAACAAATTGATAGTCCTTGGCAGATCCATTTTTCAAACACCATCAAAATATGCAACTCTTAGGACGAACCACAAACCAAATGTACAGAGGGGAGAACCCACTTTGTATTCCCACTCCTCACTTCCCTATTTTGTGGTTCTCTATAAGGGGGCGATTTTAATTACCAGTTCTGATTGTCTCTTATACCTGCATTTTTAATGACTTGGTCTTATCTGCGTAATCTGCAGTCTTTATTTTTAGTGTTACTTGCTTTGTATTTTAACTGCTGCTTTTACTTTGTCTTGTATACTATCTCATCTGATGGAACAGCAGTGCTGCTCAGTTAGCTGTTCTGGTGGTGGGCAGCCTTAAACAGTCAGCTCTAGCATAAGGCTGCATAAGATTTCATATATATTTTGGCAGGAATGGTGCTTCTTTAAGGGAGATGGGATCTGGTTCAGAGCTTAGTGAAGTCAATGGCAAAGTAAACTTTAGTTTTAAACTATACCGCAGGTTTTCACGGGGCATCCCAGAGACTTAGGTTCACACTTAGCACAGAGGAAAAACTGGCTCAGAATTTCCTCTTTGCGTGTGCTGCAGGGATTCTAGTGTGGGGGCAATCAGAGGCTTACAACCCATGCTTAAGGAAAATTGTCTTCTGGCAGAGAACTGCAAAGCATGGTTCTTTGCTTGCTCCTTTCAACATGCTCCTTCCCGTTCTGTGGCGGCTACTCCAGACCTATTCCTTTTTTTCTTTCTCTTTATTTTATTGGTGGAACATATGGCATAGTAAAGCTGCTATCTTTAGCAACATAAGGGTATGGAAACTGGGATGGTCAGGAAGTCCAGTTAATACAAAACTCACCTAAATCATTGATCAAAACTGAGAAGCCAGAACTTTTATTGTGGAATGAAATTTTTTTTTAAATGGTCTTTTCTGTTTGAAAGGCAAGTATCACTGTATCTTGTGGTTTGTACTCAAGAGTATGTTGGGTGTGTTATTACTGAGTACAAACCAGAAGCTTATGATAGTAAATTATATCTGTCAGCAGTACTTCAAGACAAAGTCTTGCAGAGGAATAATGTATTGTGAAATCTTTAAAAATATTAGTGTTGAAGCAGATATGAATCCCTGGTTTGTGGTCTGTCAGCATGGTAGGAATGGGACATACACAGAAGGACATTTTCAACAAAATTAGTAAGTAAACCTAAGGAGTGACCAATGTCATCAGCTACAGGTAGATGGAAACAAGGCATAAGATGTTGTGACTCACTTAAATACCTAGAAATAAATGAGGCCTGTATTGCCAGGAGCAGTCCTTGTTGTTTAACAGTGTATATTTTTGAAGGTATAATTTGTTTTGAAAAGGAAAACAAAACAGAGGTAATCTACAGTGGAGTAATAATTTATTCAATCAGTAAGAAATTCCTCACTGAATGAGTGGAAAATTATGTTCTTTTTTTCTCTTTCAAGGACTCAATTGGGACAACTACATTTTTAGGATTCACAGCTGCAGGATTTGTAGTTTTCCAGGGGAATAAAAGAATTCATTTATTAAAATGGTAAGCATGTGTACTAAGAATACATTAAAAAGCAAGTGTATTTTCTCCTGTATCTTACCTTCTTCCTACTATCTTCACCTGCATTTGTTGTCTTTAAGGTGAACCATTCCTTCTCTTGCCCTAACATGTTTCACTTTTAAAAGATTTTAGAAAATAATAATAACCACAAGAAATTTGGTCTCATTCATCCTCCAGTGAATATTATTCCACACACAAATGCTAAAATTCAGTAAGTTGATTTTTCATCTATGCTGTAAATTACTAGTGAGGCTTACTGGCAGAGTTGTCTGGAACAGTTTACAGGAGTTCACCTGTATTTTTATTTGACTTTTGGAAATATTGCTGTTTCCTCATTTAATTGACCCCAATTTGAAAACTATAAAAGAACATATTTGGTAAGCAGAGGATGAGGTGAGAATGCCTTTGAAGTTTTATTTTTTAGTCTCATTTTCAAGAAGTGCACACTCACACAATTATCCTTGGTTTGTCTGGTTTTGCTTTTCTTTTCTGCATCTGTAAAACATTTGATTTAATTGGTTAGCCTCAGCCACATTTGAGGGAGAGGTAAAATTGAGCTCCTGCAAGTAGTGTAAGAGCAGCTGGCCATGCCTTCAGCAGCGTGCTATAGAGTGAGCAGTCATGGACAGACATTGATAAGTCTCAGTTTAGCCCTGCTGCTACATGGATGCCAACAGCAGTTGTGGCATCCATGTGTCATAGATGTGGCTGCTCCACCTCTGAGCTCACAACCTGTCTCATGGAATCAAGATGGTGAAAAAATGGTGAGGTGTTTTTTAATGTAGAGCTGGAAACTTTGCTGCATATCTGTAGAAACCTCCCTGATAGCTGACTAATTTGAAATCCTCAGATGTGTAAAGTCAGTGTAGTTCTGTCTGTATGATTCAGTTCCCCATGGAGCTTTAGGGAAATGCCTGTCAAATGCCATCCATTTGAGATCCTGGATTTGTGCCTAGAATTAATTCCAGGTAGCCCTGGTCACAGTACTTGGGTGGTTTGTGCTTTTGGCCTAAGGACAATATAACTATAATGTCAGTCTGTGGTGCACAAAGGAGAGAATAACACTTGCCAAGCTTGTGTCCACTGTACAGTGCGGAGTGAGTTTCACATCACTTAGTTTTTCTACTTAAGGATGATGTGTCCTTTTGGAGATCTATGTGTATTAATTTAGTCCATTGACATGTAAACCAGATTCCAAATGAAATAGTGATAGAGGAGAAGTCATTAAGCTGTCTCAGCATTACCCTTTGGAAGGTCAGTCCAGTTATCTGAACACCATGTGCTCCTTCTTTCATTTCTGAGGCCTAGAAGTGAGTGTTAGTACCTTTAAAAGCTGAAATTTGCACTACACAGTAAGAATCCAAATTCATATTTGAGATTTTTCTTTTTAGTGTAAAAGCTTTCTCAACTGCAACGATTTTTGTGGTTTATGTTAGAGCAGAACTCTTGTTATGAAGTTTCAGGGATAGCAATGTCCTTGACTCCAGAGTTGTTGTTATTTCAATCATATGAAATCCAAGACCTTTAGAGATAGTTCATGAAAAACTATGGTGTCTCCATTTTAGCTGTGGCAATGACAACATTTCCATTACAATTTAAGCAGAGGCATCGTATTACTATTATTATTAGAGGCATTTTTATTTATATGGTCCACTGCTATTCCGTATGTAGATTGTGCTTTCAACCTTGGTTAAATTGAATTTTGACATAGGTTTACATCTATGGCCCCAGTAGTAAGTGCTGTCAGATATATAATTTTTCTTCCTGTTGTGTTCTGTAGTAAGCAGTCAGCTATTAAGATGATGGTATGAAACCTCAAATAAGTAAAGAGAAAAAGAGTATTATCTTTCCCTCAATTTAATTATAATAGACATTGTAAGATTTTAAGATATAAAAGGAATTACAAACTGTTTCATAAATAGAATGTAAACATAAGCTTCTACCTACCTTTAATTTCCTCCTCACTTTCCAGCAGCTAAAGTTAATTCTTTGAAGATTCATATGGATGTAAAAGAAATACTCTGGGCTTATGCATGCCAAAGAAAATTAGAATATTAAATAATTTTATGCTGAAGGTTGTAAGAATCCTGTTGAGGCACTTAGTCATTTGACTTTGGGAATCAGGGAAACTCGCATGCAAGTTGCTTTTCTTACTTGTAGATAAATCTGTCTTTCCTATAATTGAATCATTTTTCTCTTTCTAGGTGTGATGTCTATAAACTGAAATTTGAAGGGAAGACTTTTTATGTGTTTGGAGCTCAGAAGGAGGTCAGGTTTAATATTTTTACAGACTTTCTGTATTTGATTAAGATGCACTAGGACAACATATTTTTAACTGAGAAAACTTCTAAACAATCAATAATTATACATTATATGGTAGCTAAAATATAGAATATGAGTGAATGTGAATATTCCTGTTGTCAAAGGAATGTCTAATTTGCAAAGGGTTGAGTCATTTCTCACTAACATTCATGCTGTGCTTTGTTGATAGCCCATGTTTTTGGTCGTCTTTGGAGTAAAGTTTTAATTGATTTTAAAGTGCTAAAGCTGTATTCACCCACTTTAAAATATGAGAGATGTCTGTATATGGTTGCAAATTATAGTGAACATTGATACCTGTGAGGTATTTTTGGCTTATCACAATCATGTCCTCAGATCTTGCTCAGCTGTATAGGCCAGAGACTGTCCTAGGTAGCTGGGAATCCTACATTTTGCTCTTGTCATTCAGTCACAGAGATATTTTGCCTACTACATGCTATAATCAGTTATATCCCTCAGTCAGAGTGATACAGTCTAGGTTTATGGCTTTGAATGTAGGTGAGGAAAGAAAATGAAGGAAGGAAATCATGTCAGATGTATCACAGACTGTGGTTGCAAGGAGATTTTGTTGGTAGGATATGGTAGGAAATGAGGAGAGGTGGATGGTCAGTAGTCCAGCAACTGTGCCATGTGGAATACTGAACATAGAGACTTTCCTCTTTGATACTGATCTCAATACAATTATTCTACAAGCCACTTGTACATATGCGTACATAATGCTCTTCCCTGCTCCCTCCAAGCATTTCCTTTGCAAAAATTGGCTGGGTAGTTTAAATATCATCTATGAATGAGTTGTACATCTGTGGGTGAAGCACAGTTTGAGTCTACACAGGAAAACATGGTCATCAGTGTATCTGGTTAATGGCGATGCCATCAGGTACAGCTACTTCAGTGCTTGAGAATTCAACATTTTCATTACTTTCATTTGTTTTATTTTCCTTGCACTTAGAAAAAGGCTGTGCTGTCATTCCATACGTCTACACCAGCAGCCTGCAAGCATCTTTGGAAATGTGGGGTGGAGAACCAGGCTTTTTACAAGTATGTAAACCTGAAGTCATTATCTATACTAAAAGAAAATATAATTGCATGTAAGTTGAAGATTGTTCAATGTGAAATGTTCCATTTCATAACAGAATGTAAACTACAAATAGAAAATATGCAGGTTAATGAGAAATACTATTTAATTTCAAGCCAGTGTTAGAAATTGTTTAAAATCTAAATGAGGCAGAAGGGGGCTGGCAGTGAATAATTGCTCTTTCTCCAGCACACTGCTTATGCTGCTCTGTAGTGTGATTTTGGATTGATACATACTGCACTTGTGTCTCTGTATACAGTTGTTAATCTTAGCCTGGTTTAGGAATAGCTTGAGAATGGAGGAAATAATTTGTAATACTTGATTCTCTGTAGTCTTCTGCCAGTAGGTAATTGTTCTACCAATTGAAAGCCAAGGTTTAGTAAGAGTGGATTAAAGCACAGCAGAGAATTGTTTACTTTTCAAAAAAGAAAAGAAAATGGCTTTAGATATATTTTGAAAGACACCAGCTGTCTTGTAAAAAAAAAAAAAAGCCTGAAAATTGACAAGAAAATAAGGAGTATCTACCTCCCTGTTCCCTAAAAGAGAATCTGATAGTATTTCGTCATTAAAAAGCTCTTACGCATTCTTTCTGCCTTCCATTGACTTTGTTAGATCTGTTTATTGATGTGTCCCTTTAGGCACGTAGCTTTTATTCTTGCTACTTAGTCTCTCCTTACAGCTTCTTGCATATTTTATAAAAATTACTGTTTCTGTGTGGGCACATAGCAGCGCCAGGGAGCTGCTGTAAGGATAAACCATAACTATGCAGAAAGAATGTGTCTTCTAACCTGAATGTTAATGACCTGCTTTAATGTGGAGAATACTTCTTCTTTTCAACACTGATACAAAAATATATAAATATATTCAAGTGATATATTCAGTGAGGGGACAGGAAGTATTAGCTGTCAACTCTCTATCTTAACATCTACTGTGTTTGAGACTGCATTAATATGATGTTTATCAGGAAGTATTTTCCATTGGAAGTAGACCTGAGTAGAAAAATGGTGCATGGTGTTTGAGCAGTTTTATTTTACATTGCTAGAAATAAATATAGGGAATAGGAAACGATTCCCACCCAAAGGAGAGAAATTAGTGCTCAAAGTAAAGATGTCAGAGAGAGATTCAGGAGTATCACTTATCTGTTCTTGTTGTTAAATGGCTGTAATATTAACTGTTTGGGTTTTGGACACAGATACATGGTTGTAGGGAGTTTGGTCTTAACCTTTCGGGGAGAGGGAGTGAGAGAGCAACTGTGTAGGCATGTAGTACCTAGTCAAGGGGAGAAAGTAAGATGAAATAGCTCATAGCTTAGGATAAAGACAGAAATATTGGTTACCAATTACTGTCACAGGCAAAACAGGCTTGGCTTGGGTAAGTTTCATTTTTTTCCTACCCTTCTCACTCTATCTCAAATTGTCATTAAAGACAAAAGTAAAAATACCTCTCCATGTTACTTTCCAGCTCAACTTTCTGCCTCATTTTTGACTCCACTATGTACTCCTTGACCTCAGCAGCTCAAGGAGATGGGGATTGAAGTTTCTCTCTGTTGCTCCTTTCTCCTCATGTTTTCCCCCTGCACCAGTGTCCTTCATGAGCTGCTCAAGAATAGGTCTTTCCTATGGGCTTGCAGTCCTTCAGGATAAACCTGCTGCATCATGGATTCCTCTCCATAGGCCACAACCTCTGCCAGGACCTAGCTCCTGTGTGAGTTCTCCACAGGCTGCAGCTTGCCTCAGTGCCAGTGTACCTGCTGTAATACAGGTTCCTCCACAGGCTGGAGTGCTCACATCTGCTCTATAAGGGACTGCAGTGGGACAGCCTCCTTCCCTATGGTCTTCTCCATCAGCTTCAGGGTAGACTTGGCTCCGACACCTGGAGCACCTCCTCCCCCTCATTCTTCTCTGTCATGGTGTCTGAAGGGCTGCATCTCTCATCTGTTTTTCTACTTTCCAAATGTGGAGTTATTTCTTTAGCATGATTGCTTAAAATTTTGCTTGCCTGTTTCAGTTTTGGTGGGTCTTTCAAGAGGACTACTTTAATAAAATTAAGATTGGTAACGATATTCAGTGGAGAGGAAACTGGATGAGAGATTGGAAAATAGTAATGGTTAATATTAAGAGTGCAGAAAAATAACAGTGATCCTCCAAACATGGAACTGAAGCCAAATCAATCTATAAATAAAGACTTAAGATAGTAGTTTTGAAATGGCAAAAGGTTTTACACATTTCAGAGTTGTGCACTGTGTACTGTTAGTTATTCAACAGCATTAGATAAATCCTGTTTGTTTGTGTTCTGTATGATACCAACAAGGTATTCTAGTAAGATTAGTGCAGGCATAGTCAGGTTGTGTAAGTAATTCATGGTAATGACACTTTGCCTCAATTAAATTTGGTCTTCTCCTCTGCTTAGAAGAGTTTGAGACTGGAATTTAAGATAAGGTCATGATTACCTTGCATGTATTGAAAAACAAAGCTTTAGTCCTGTCTCGATCCAGGCTAAGGGTTGGCCATTGTGATTATGTTCAAGTAGATATAAATCATAGAAGATTGTCTACTTGGGTCTGGGAATGAGAGGCTAAATACAAAATCAGTTTGTCATTTTTCAAGCAGAGAACATCAAGGAAATTGCATGCCTCAGGTACTCCTCCATGATCTTTGTGATAAAAGAGTGTGATAGAAGAATATGATAAAAGGCTGCTGTGTACTTGATGATTAGAGAGAAGCAATAGGATATTATGTATGCTACTAAGAAGTTGACTGAATAGAGACATTGGAAATGCAACTACTTTGGGAGACAAGTGTTACCACTTTTTTATTATTTCATTGGTTTCCAAGTGAAAAAGTGGAAACAGTCATATTTTCCCACAGACAAGGTGGTGTTAGAACACACGTCCTAGGGGCTTTTTGGTGTACTATAGTCTTTCCTTCATCATGTGAATAGAAGTCCATAGAGATGCAGAAAGTGTCTGCATTTAATTTTCTTGTTTTCCTGGCCAGGTAATCACTTTTTCTAAGTTCAGTCACTCTGTGTGTGCTTCATACTCTAGTTTGTATAAAGGCCTTAAAAAGGTTGGAAGCTCACTTTTTGAATGTTGCTTTGTGGTATAAAAGTTACAAAACTTGTTCATCTTTGCTTATGTCCGTGCAAATATGACAGCCTCTGTTCTTTTTCTTCAAGGTATGCAAGATCCAGTCAGATCAAGACAATGTCCAGCAGCAAGATATTTTTTAAAGGCAGTAGATTTCGATATAGGTGAGTGTTTGCTTTTTCTTGTTCACCATAAATCATTTCAGAAAGTAAGAAAACATCAGTAATTACTCATGGCAAATTAAGGGCTTTTCCCACTGGACTGTTCACACCTAATTGAGGTCAGGGCTTGAAAGGTTTTCTGTTGTCTCTTTAGTGTTGCTTATAAAATAAACTGGAGTCAGACTTTTGTCAAGAGCAGTTCCACCAGCAGACTGCTCCACTTTTGGTGCAGCTTCTGCTAAAACAAGGACGTGTGGCCAGTGCAGAGATTGTATGCCTTCTGTAACTGGGAAGCTATGGGCCAGGGGTGCATTAAAGGACAGTTCAGTCCCATTCTTATTGTTTTCTACAAGAGGTTGCTTTTTTTTCTTTGCAGGCAAGCTGTCAGCACCATTTTATCCTGGGACATTATATATCCACTACACAGGAATTTTTTGCCTTTTCCTTTTCTTCTTTTGATTGAAACTTAATTGTTTCTGTACATGTAGTTCTTAGCATGTAAAGGGTTCATCTTAGTATTTACTTGCATATTTATGTCATCTTTTAATGCAGTGGAAAAGTAGCCAAAGAGGTTGTGGAGGCAAGCTCTAAAATCCAGAGGGAACCTCCTGAAGTTCACAGGTATGTCTTGATATTCAATATTAAAGCATAAGGACTAAGGAGGATTATTATTCTTTACAGAGAAGCTCTCTTTCTTTTACTGTCGAATATAATGGCTGTCATTGTGAGCTTCCACTCTGAGGCATGCAAGCCTTGGGAAGTATGTGTTGCCAGTGTTATAATATTCAGACAATAATGTATTGTCTCCTAGATAAGGGAACTTAATCTGTGCTGCTTCAAAGATGGATTTAATCAGTCAACCAGATAGGTATCTTATATTATTTTCTGTGCTAGACTGTTATTACATGGTTCTGACAGAAAAGTACATTCTCATTTCACTCCTTGTTTGGTTTTGAAAGATTCTGTTTTGTATATGTTTATGGTTATGCTTAAAAGTATACTTGGTAGTTTTTCCATAATGCAACCAAATTAAAAAGCATGAAGTTCATTCATTAAAGAGAAAAAATATCAGAGAATCTTCTTTTCAGATAAAAATTTGACATGTAAGAAATAAGCAGCTAGACTTTGCAAGCAAACTAATGCTTTCAGGTCCTTATCATGTATTGTAGTGACAGTGAAAATTGCTAAGAACCTGATTGAAGTACTTCAGAAACGAAGAAAGAGGCCAGCAGAGAAAGCTGCTTAAAACCTTTTTATGAAAAGGTTGCTTAACTTCCTGAACATTCTATGGCCATATCCCTATTTTTATTAGCAGGGTTTTTTTTGAGGTTGGGGTGTGTGGTTTTGGTTTATTTTTAGTTGAATGTTGCTATTCTGTATATATTTGAGATAAAAGTGGTTTGTCTTTACTAAAGGATAGGAATATATTTGCAGTAAGTATAATACGTTTTCCAGCTCTACTACGTAATTAGGAGTAAGGCCATGCAGGGATGGATACTTCTGAACATGCTTTTCCAGATTGCATTTAAAAATGGGGTAAGTGAAGGTCTAGAATGTGTTATATGAAAACACACAAGGCAGGATACAGATTTATCATTGAGGCAGAGTAGACTACTTGGGCACACAAATGCATTTTAAATGAGAATAGTTGCTTACATAAGGA